CGAGTCAGCAAGCTCAGTTACTGAGGTGCATCCTAGACTGTGTGGGTGCGTATAGTTGCCAATTAGCCTTAACGTGCTAATAAATGCTAGAATTTTACAAGCGCAGGTGCTTTGTACAATTTTCAAGTATTTCAATCAAAATGCTGTAAAATGTAGCAAACATGTCCTTGAAAATGCAAAGTTTCAGCTTCAAAATGATGTAACCAGGTTATGAAAATGAAGCGTACAGTCAAGGATATTTTCTGGGTGAGGGATTTTTGGCTAAAAAAACAAACGATCTAAAATATGTGTGGTTATTTTTCATTATCTTAAACGTGCACAATCCAAGACGTGCTGCACAGGTAGTGCGATTAAAAAAAACAAACAGGAAGCATTAGTGTGTACTGCTGTGCATGTTTTATGCGTTCCTCAGTTGGAGGAACAGGAATGAAAACGGTGTAGTAGCTTTCCTTTTGTTCCCATGCCAGATTTTTTTTCTGGTTCAAATTCTTCTTCATTGCTGCTCTTTTCTCCTAGTAGAGCAGTAAGTCAGTAATGTCAGGATTGCACAATGGGACGGCACGCCTTGTGGGTTTCTTTCTGTCTTTGTGTGTCTGTGTGTGTGCCTGCATGGAATGCGGTGAGGGTATAAAGGAGAGCCCAAGTGAGTAAAGTCTGGGGGAAAGCTAACTGATAACATATTGTTCTGTACTTGTTTTGGCTGCTGAGTTGCATCCCGGTCTGTCATGCTAGCTCCTGTTCTTGGACTTGATGAATGCATCTGGGAATCAAACTGTGCACCAGTCAGCGGCCGAGGGGATGAAGGCTTAAATGCTTTGGGTGTGCTTTACTGGGCGTAAACATGATGGTTTGTCCAAACCACATTTCTAAAAGAATAGTGTCATCTGCTTGTATTACATAGACTGTATATGTAAGATGGAGGCACTTAATTACTGTGTCATAACTGAAATAGATAAAAAGCTAAAATTACCAGAGATGGAGCTCAGACTTCAGGCTGGTCTGTGAGTACAATTAACTGCTGAGTGAGTCATGAATTTTTTTCTTCATACATTAAAAATTCTCCTAAATGTCCTGACGGCACATTTACTTAATAAATTAACTCATAGCCCCATAAATAAGATATTTAACAATGTCTGCTGTACAATTAATGAGTTTTGAGGCTTGTTCACACACACAGGGTTAAATCTGATCCAGTGCTGGTACCTGCACATTACACAATTACTTTTGACTTGCTCATAGATGCTGAAAAGAAGTTGATGAAATTGCTACATGTGAACCTTCACTTAGAAAACATTAGGTTTGTTTTCAAGTATCAACAAGCTGAGCATTTTGTAAGATTTTGAAGTTGTAAGTGCTTATCAGTCACCCATCTCCAGATTTGTTCAGGTATGGTGAAAAATGCTTCGGGGTGCTTTGCTGTCATCATGTTTCCATGTGATGGCATTTTAAATGAGAAATGCTTTTATTGTTTGTGCCCTTGAGAAAAGAGTCGTACTGAAAAGCTATCTGGGCTGCCAGCCATGCATTCCTATCTTTGTGTGACTTCCATGGAAACATGAGAGCTGAAAAACTTGAAATGTGGACATGATGAAGAAGAGAAAGAGAAAGAAAAAAGGGTTAAAGGAAAGAAGGGCTAAACATGTGAGCTGTTTGTAGCAGGGACGTGTGACTCAGACTCTGACGGCTGCTTTCCGCTGGAAGGCCGCGCTGTAGCCGGGATACTCCCTTAGCTACTGGACCTGCCCCATGCCCAAAAACAGAGGTGCTGTCTTGCCCCCGTCTAACCACATGCGCGTACACAGACGCACACATGAATGGACAAACGTTTATTTCCATGGTGAGAAGATGTGTACAGAGACACACAGAAAATATCAGAGCTTGATTGGACCTGTGGTACCATTAACTCCACCCCGCCGAAACAAATATAAGTCCAGATGAGCTCCGGATTGAGTGTCAGACTTTTAGCTTGTCAAGATGCCTTTTGGGAATTATTCTCTTATCATCTGGGGTTCTAATATGAGAATTCCCTGGACATTTAATCCTTTGGATACCCTTGCTGAAAGGCTATTTTCTGCCATGGGTAAAACAAGAACTGTGCACAAAGGTGATGAATCATTTGCATGTACTCTGGATTTGTTTCATTGCCTTTGTTTATGGTGCGTTACAAGGGCTCAAGGTCACCTCTGCGTCGTTGTGCAGCAGGATTTCTTGATGGACCTGGAATTCTTCATTCATGTCTTTGGCCTTTCAGCTTGAACGAATGCGTTCTTCAAATCAGCAGGGAGGAGCAGGGTGTAATCCGCACATTCACACGCTTTCACCCACCTGGGAGCTGCTCGGTATCATCAGTGTCGCAGCGTTTTATTGACAGACCGCTTGCACCAACTGCTGAGGTCAGTGTGTCTGCGAGGGCTCGGTCTGAGGGAAAAGAGAAAGGAAAAGATAGGGCCAGTGCAGAGCGAGATAAAGCTCAGCAGCTGCTTTCTGCACACACACACACACAGTCTGTCCTAGCCTGACTCCTCCTCGCCACCCCACCCTCTTCTCTCTTGTGCTCCCGCCCCGTCTCCCTCTTCAGCGGTAGGTACATGTGCAGCGAGCTTCGGCTACGAAAGCAGTCCAGGGCACGAGCCAAAGGAGCACACACCCACCAGCAGACAGCGTTCTTCAACAGACTGCGATCATCTGAGGCACTGAAAGCAGCAAAACTTCCAGAAAGATCCTGCGCTCGCACTTTCCCACCCTTCAGCAGGCTGCAGTCAGAAGGCTCTCACACAGCTAAGGTAAGCTTTCCCTCGTGTTTGCCTCCTGTGAGGCTTTTTCTTTATGTCTCACTGACACTGCTGCTGTCTGTGCTTCTAGTATACTTGTCATTTTGAGCTGGTTAAACTCGTTCAGTCAGCTGAAAGCTGTTTTCCTTTTTCTGAGGCATAACTTTGTCAAAGTTGTAGCTGAAGAGCTGAACATCAGCCAGCACCTGTTAATGCTCAGCAGCTGCTTTTGGAAGCTGAAATGATGCTTCATTTATTCAAAGTCAGTCCAGAGAGAGCACTCGTAAGCGTGTGCTCCTGTGGGCGTGTGCATGCATCCCACCCACGTGCGTGTTCTCGTGTGCACTTTTGGTAACGAGCGAGAGGGGATGGATGGAAGAGTTTGGTGTGTCCACCCACTCCAATCTGGAGAGCCCATTCCCGCCATTTGGTGGGACAGGCTTGTTAGGCTGTGAGTGGAGCAACTGCTGACAAGAGTCTCACCTGTTTGGCCACAGTTACTGATAACAGTGCTGATAAGGCTCGTTGAGAAGTTTCATCAAAGCCTCATAATTTGATTGTAGAGTTTCTCCCTTTGCATGTTTCGTTTGTAAAATTCTCTTATATATGTATTTATTTATTTATTTATATGTGTGTGTGTGTTCCATGCATTTTTATTTTAATTCATTTTGTAGACTTTTGCAATGAACTCTGAAGCTTTTAAGGTTTCGATGTAACACTCCTCACATTAGGATGGATACTTGTCCATATCAGGGCATCCTGCAGCAATCGTTTAGATTATGAGTCAACACTTTGGAATTATATTGCGCGCTGTTGCTAGCGGCTGTGGGCAAAATGATCACCACTGAACATTCTGATCTCTAAACAAATAAAAGCATTTTTACCAGAGTCTCTGTGGCAGAGCAGCATGGTGATGCCTTTACTTGTTCTAGTTACAACTGCATATTTTCACTGTAATTATGAGTGTTTACAGCCTTGCAAAAGGTATGTGGGTTGGTCTTTGTGGGAATTGTGTTGAGCGAGTTGCGTAAAGTGGTTTAACAACACCTACAGTGGTTTAATGAAGCTGAAGCAGAGTGGACGGTGAGGTTGAGGTTATCACAGTGGGTTAGTTTGTTTTGAAAATATCGACATGAATGTAAAAGGGAGCAGGAAACGAGTGAAAAGGTAGCTGTGATAAGTTCAGCATTATCTTTTTTAGCATATGCTTCCCGAAAAAATCAAAACAAATTAATAAAACAAATCTGTGAGCAGACGGAGGACTGGAGGCGGACAGATAAGAATCACGACTGGAGCCTTTCTTCGCTTTCACTTCAGTTAAACTTTAACTTGTGATTCAGCCATTAAAGCGGTGCAGTGTGTTTCTGTGGAAGGCGACCTCGACACTCCTCTCATTAAGTCTTCCTCCTCTCCCACAGCCAGTGACTCACCCCATCTGCGTCTCTCGCTGAGCCATTATTACCATGGAAACCCCGAGCCAAAAACGCACCAGCCGCAGCGCCGTCTCTCCGGCCCGCATCACCAGGCTGCAGGAGAAGGAGGAGCTGTGCAACCTCAACGACCGGCTGGCCGTGTACATCGACAAGGTGCGCTCCTTGGAGTCGGAGAACGCCGGGCTGCGGTTGCGCATCAGCGAGTCCGAGTCCTCGGTCACCCGCGATCTGTCGGGCATCAAGACGGCCTATGAGACGGAGCTGGCGGATGCCCGCAAGACTCTCGACCAGGTGGCCAAGGAGCGAGCACGCCTGCAGCTGGAGCTCAGCAAGATCAAGGAGGAGCACAAAGAGCTCAAAGCCAGGTAAGAAGAGCAAATGGGCGTGGACTTTCTTCCTAATAGCCAGGAGGGGGCGACTGCTCTGGTTTCAAGAACTGGTCCAGTTGTATAGAAGTCTATGAGAACATGCCCTCACTTTTTTCCTGTTGTTTATGTTCCCAGTCGCTGATTTTAAGTCCTATTTGATACAGCATCGCGCTTGTTGTGGGAATAAATGGCTACTTTGTTACTAACATCTGAGCATGCAGAGTCCTTGTTAGTCACATCCAAGAAGGACAAAAAATAAATGCTAAAATCCAACCTTCAAAACAAATGTTCAAAAACCAGCTGCTCGGGATAACTACACGCATCTATCAGACATCACATTGTGGATGTAAACTACGCTGTAACTGATTTCATGTGTAAATAAGTTAACATATCAGAAGCACACACTGATGATTTTGTGCATGTGTCATTTCTCTTCAGAGGACAGATGAAAACAAACACTCGTGCAGTTTTGCTTCAGAGTCAGGGGAACCTCTGGGAATGATCCATAAATCAGCAGCACACTGATGATGTAACGTTTATCTGCCGTTGTGTGGGATCTGTGTGGGGGAATTCCCTGACTTTCTGCCAAGTGATTCCACAGTAACTTTGATATGTTCTCGTATTCCTCCTGCTGCATAAGAACGATGCTTTTCAGATTATAGGTCAGTAATTTTTACTTTGTGGCGCTGCAAAAAAGGATGAATCAGATTGTTATATGTGGAGGATTTCCTGGCGTTGTTACTGCTGAGCGTCAGCCAGCGCAGATTTGTCTTCTTTTAAAAATATGTCTTCAAACCCTGTCGGTGTGTCTGTGGAATGTGGTGTGAAATGTGCAGCCAGATCCAACATCAGGGTTGTAAATGTCATTCCTGAGTTTGTCAGTTTTCAAGTGCAGTCATGTCACTTCAGTCCCCGTTGAAGGAAAGGACACACCTCCAGGCAAACAGGCTGAACACAGCCTGCAGAGCTGGAATCACCGTCCCCGTGACAGAATGTCGACTCGCAGCTTTACACACGGCGAGATTACTTTGCACAGTTGCATAAAGACTTTAGAGTTTTGGCATTTGTGAATTGAGCTTCGTACTGAAGCATGAAATTGAACGAAAAACTAGCCGAGCTAACAAAGTGCAGTCTAATTTTACTGTTTTTGTTTTGTTTTAAATTCTGTTGCGTGGTGGAAGTGAAGAACACGCATGTCTGTCATTCATCCTTTATTTGAAACTTTCAAAGCACAGGAGTTAAGGAAGGGTGGACAATGAACCAAACTGTGAGGCACATGAGAGGGAGTCATTACTTCAAAACTTACACAACTCTGTACTAAAATGAAGAGTTTTCTGTGCATATTGGTATATTATTTAGCATTTTGTCATATTTACAACGATGCATTGAGCAAACTGTATCCATGGCTGCTTGTTCCCAGATACTAATCGAGCTAGGCTACAGCATTCGTCACTACATCTAAATGAGGTTAGCAAGTGGAATGGAAACGGTTCCATTACAGTAGGTGGTTGACGCTGCATTCATTATTTGAAAACAACATTTAGAGGAAACCCTGTGTGTAGCTTGGCATGCAGGCTGGTGTTATTGGAGGACTGTTGGAGCCGAGGCCACATTATCAAGCAGCTCTAACAGCTTCAGCTAGCTGAGGAGCTGTTAGGATTGTGAGCAGATTTTTCCCCCCTGTAAGTCCACAAAATTTCCGACTCGATGCCTTACTGAATGTCTGCGCGTCTTCAGATGTTGGGGGAGTCTGTCGGCAGATCAGACTCAGCCAGCAGTGCTTCCCAGGAATGTGTTGGCAGCAAAGTTCATGTGAGGTTAGAGAAAGAAAATGCAAAATATCGACTCGCTGCACTCTAATTCTTTACAGTCAGCACTTTGTTTCCTGATTGTTCCTCAAACCTTTAAAAATTTATTTTTTTAAATCATTTTTCACACGTGTGTGTGTGTGTGTGTGTGTGTGTGTGTGTGTGTGTGTGTGTGTGTGTGTCCACAAATTTAATGACTCCTTTGATCTGATTAGTTGCTAATCTCTTCCTTTTCAAAGACTTGACGTTTTATTGCATCTGAACCAGAGATGGGCAGTAACGCGTTACTGTAATCCGATTACTTTTTTCAAGTAA